CTTGGTATTTTTAGCAGCTGCAGAACTGAATCATCAGGATGGCCCTCAGGGCCCACCTCACCCCGTGGTGCCCTGGAAGGCTGGAACCTGGAGCATGGCCTGTCTGCCAGGAACAGGGTCTGGAACCTGTTACACTCCTACCCAGGCCTGGGTGGGAGCTCGGGAGCCGTCACCCGGGATGGGCAAATGAGCACACACTGGCCTAAGCCTCCGATACTTGGACTCCTGGAGGCCTTTTTTGGTTTTGTTTCTTTAATAATAGACTTAATTTTTTTATATGTTTTATTAATTGATTTTAGAGAGAGAGGAAGGAGAGGGATAGAGAGATAGAAACATCGGTGAGAGAGAAACAGCATCAATTGGCTGCCTCCTGCACTCCCCCTACTGGGGATCGAGCCTGAAACCTAGATATGTGCCCTGACCAGGAATCGAACCAGTGACCTCGTGGTTCATGGGTCGATGCTCAACCACTGACCCACACAGGTCAGGCTAGACTTAATTTTTTATGTACAGTTTTAGAGTTACAGAATAACTGAGCAGGTCCGACTAGAGTTCCATATACCTACCCCACCCAGACACAGTTTCCCTGTTATTAACATCTTGCATTAGTGTGATACAATTAGTGCCCCCGGCATGGATACATTATTAAGACTATAGTCCATAGTGTACATTAAGGTTTAGTCCTTGAGCTGGACTGTTCGATGGGTTTCGGAAATGCCCAGGGGCTTTCTAACCCCGTGGGTGTCTGGGATAAGGCCATTGTTCTTAGCCCTTAGGCAACCTCTCTGCTTAGTCAAAGGAACGTGATTTGCCTCAGTTTCCTTTTCCAGTGTTTTTGCGCCAAGGCTCCAGGCCCCGGGCTCTGACTGGAAACGGGGGAGTGGAAACTGATTAAGGACAGGAAGTCAGAATCTGGTTTGGATCTCCCTAGGGTGAAGCGGCCCCTAAGTTCAATGGCCAGGGCTCCAGTTTCTAACACATTGTAAGCAGCCTACCTCCCAGCTGGGTGTGCCAGGCCCTGGGTGCCAGGGAGTCCTGGCCTGGCGCATTGGAGCCCATGGCGCCTCTCCCTGCAGTTCCGGAGAGGACCGCACTGCCACGCTGCCTATCGGAGGCCTTAGCTATGTCCAGGGTTACACCAAATTCCGTCTGATCAACAAGACCGTGGGACGTTGCCTGGACGTCACAGCAGAGAAGTTCCCGGACCGAGAAGCGTTGGTCGTCGTCCATGAAAACATCAGATTGACCTTTGCTCAGCTCAAGGAAGAGGTGGGTCCTGACCTTGAACCCTGAAAGTAGGCAGGTGCTACCTCCAGGCTTCCCTGGCTGGGTTGAGCCACAAGAGTGGCACCTGGGGGAGGGGGGGCGGGATCAGGGTGTTGGGGCTGCCTGAGAACCCCAAGGGACGTAAGGAGATGGGGACAGGACTGAGGCAGAGGTGGCCTGGGTGCCTCTTGCATCAGTCGTGCGGGGGCAGTTGCTAATTCTGTGTATTCCATGCCCCACTCCAGATCCACTGAGGCCTGTCCCTTGTTCCTAGGGGACTCTGCTGTGAGCTGCTGGTCCGAGGGCTGAGGTGGGAGTCCTGGCGCCGTCCTGCTTGCCCACACCTCACCCCTGTGCCCTGTCTGTTTACACCAGGTGGACAAAGCTGCCTCTGGGCTCCTGAGTATCGGCCTTCGCAAGGGTGACCGGCTGGGCATGTGGGGACCCAACTCCTATGCATGGGTGCTCCTGCAGCTGGCCACCGCCCAGGCGGGCATCATTCTGGTGAGGAGGGGCGGACCTGACCTAGCTGGGTATGCAGGGGAACATCATTCGTGGGAAGCCTGCTGGCCCCTTGGCCTCAGAACCAAACCAGCGTCTATGTGGGTAGCTTTCTCCTGAAGCCACCAAGGAGAGCCAGGGGGGTAGGGTGCCACCTCTGTCTACGCCGTGTTTCTGTGCCTGCTGAGGCTGGAGGGGCAAGGAGAGGGACAGGGTCTTCCCAGGACACTGACATCCCCTGCTGTCTCCACCAGGTATCTGTGAACCCCGCCTACCAGGCTATGGAACTGGAGTACGCCCTCAAGAAGGTGGGCTCCGCTCCTGGGGGTGGGGCTGGGTGGGCGCCTGGAATAGGGGCCTTCCGGTTGACGGGGCGGAGAACCATGTCTGTCCTTCCTTAGGCTGTGAGTGGGTGGGAGGAGGAGGTCGTTGGGCAGATGCGAAGCTGGTGTGTGTGTTGGGGGGGTGGTACATGCATGTGTCCTGGCAGTAGTGTGTGAGTGAGTTGGTGTGTGTCGTGTTAGCGGTGGTGCATGTGTGTAAGGGTAGTGGTGCG